GGTCACGCTCTTCATCTCCCGATTGCGTGGGATTTTGTGTCACCACTGGGTGAACCCCCCAGCGCCGGGCTCCCCGTTCTGGTGGGTGGCTTTGAGGTTTGCGGGTATTCACCAGCAGCTGGGGACCATTCCCAGGTCAGGGGACGCCCGCAGGGAGCTCGGCCGGGATTACGCACGGCTTGCTGCTTGCGTTGTGCAAGGGGCATCGCTCCTGCTGGGTGACACAAGACGCGAGCACGCAACACCTACCGCAACGTGGGGACATGGGGACGTGTTTCTTCAGCAATAAGGAAGATCTCAGCCGGTTTCTCCAAGCGAGACGGAGGCCACTTTTCCTCCTTCAACAAGACCCCCTGCACAGGGAGGTTCATTAATCACTGACAACTTGCTCAGCCTTCCTCTCACCAGAGTCAGGTCCTCGTGGACCTGCTGCTCCTCCTCCTCCTCGACCAGCGTCGAGAAGACATGAAGTAAATACTCTTCCTGCTGCCCACGCGAATCATCGCTGGGTCCCGCAAGGGCACCGAAGGAAAATTCTCCATTTCCCTGGGCCTTTGCACCCCTGCTAAAAAAAGAAATCCTGGCTGCCCCCTCGCCCTTGCTCTGGGCTCTGCCGCCGGTGCTGAGCTGCCAAAGCCCCGGCAACCTCTGCCAAGCATCTGCAGCCCATGCAGCGGCACAGAATGAACCGTGCTTTCAGCAGGCTCTGCTGCTTTTTTCGGCGTGTCCTTTATTCTGCAAAGGCGCTTACGCACAGGGGAGAAGCGCTCGCGGGAACGGCAGGGCCGGCCAGAGGGGAAGACAACAGCGTTTGCAGCAGGGAAGCGGCCTGGAGGCCATCGGCTTGGGAGCCGGCCGCTCGCCCGCACAGCCAAGCCGGGCTGGTGGGAGAGCAGGGCTCCGGGGACTCAGACGGCTTCAAACCCCAGCAAAAAGCCCTCGTTCCCTGCTGCGAGGCAGCAGGCACAGCCCGAGCACGGCGGGGAGCACGGCCCCGGGGAAGCGGGGGGCTGAGATGCTGCTCCAGGACCTGCGGCTCCTTAGCAGGGGATGAAAGAGGCTGCTCCTGCAGCAAAGCGCGGGCCACCGCTCATTTGAAACAGCGGGCCAGCCCATGGCCCCGGGCAGGTTTTACAGCTGAAGAAATGGCTAACAAGGGGTCTTGCCCCCCTGTGCATCCCTAGCGCGACTCTGCCTGGCTGCAAACACCTCTGGCCTGGCTTTTAAGCGATGGCTTTAAAAACCGCCCTTGCTGAAGAGCCCATCTGCCATCACAGCGCTCCGGCCGGGCGCGGGAGGCGAGGGCACCCGGCAGCCAGCGCGGGCTGCGCCCCCCACCGCCGCTGAGACCCGCAAACACCCACCGCTCACTCCCGCCGCCGGGCACACGTGTTGCTGCATGACTGATGTTTGTTCCCTCCCGACCCAGGAGCTGAAGTAAATTGCAGCTACGCAATGAAGAGGCACTTTATTGCTAAGGCATTAGGCAAAGCTAATGTAATCTGAACTGATATTGAATACAAATCCTTGACGGTGAGTCACCCTGCTTTTACATTGTGTTCAGCGGCGGCGGCGCGGCGTGCCATCAGAAAGCCAGGCATTAGCGAAAAATAAGCAAGGAACAGGCTTTTCTGTCTCCCTGTGAAAGACAGCTGCAATGACGACCAAATCACCTAATCATTGCATTAATTAATAAGTATTTGGAGCCTCCTGAGATTGATTGGATCATTATAACACCAAGCGAAGCCAAAAGAGAAAGAACTCCTGGGGGAAGACGGTGCCCCTTTCACGTTCACTTTGGCTCTGCTCACACGAAGAAAAAGCATTTCAAAGCCGAAGCGGTTCGGGAGCCCGCGGAAGGGGCGAGCCTGCATTTTCCCTGGATACGGGTTGCCCAGAGAGGGGGTGGAGGCCCCATCCCTGGGAACATTCCAGGCCAGGTTGGACGGGGCTGTGAGCAACCTGATGTGGTTCAAGGTGTCCCTGCTCCTGCAGGGGGGTTGGGCTGGGTGACCTCTGGGGGTCCCTTCCCACCCAAAACCTTCTGTGATCCTATAATTCATTCCCGCAAGCAGCACGAGACTTTACAGCCGGCTCCTGATCTTTCTGACTTCATCCCAACACGGGACCAAGTTGCGGTGCTGGGGCAGAGCTGCAGCACAAGGGGACCCAGGACCCGCAGCGAGGAGCCGGTAGGGGCTGCTCAGCACCAGGGCTGGTGCACCTCAGCCCCTCTCTCGCCGCGCTGCTGCAACGACCCCTCCCCAGGGAGCCACGGGTGCTCCCCCGCCGCCGCTCTCCCCATGCACAACGCCTGCCCCCTGGACCGAGGGGAGCTTTATTTTCCCCAGCCCAGCGGCGGGCCCTCTCGCTCCCTCCCCGAGACCGGAGCCGAGGATCCTGCTCAGCAGAACATTTGTTTTGTGCAAGATGGATTACAGATGCCACGTTTGTGCATGACGCCCAATTAACAACCATAATAGCGCTCCAGACTGACGGAGCATTGCTCATCTCCGGGTACGAATGCATTTTTACAGACATTGATTAATCAGGCCCCTAAACACTCCTGCAAGGCAGGTGCTATTGATGCACACGGTGTTGGGCGAGATTTAGAGCCGAGCGTGGCCTTGTGCTGAGTTAAGAAATTTCTGCTGCTTGCCATACCTGAGGTCAATACTAATGCAGTCCTCGATCCCACCGCCAGCTGGAGACCAAAAATCTTCCTTCTCATACGGCCAAGAACCTTTCACTGCTCAAGCTCTTGCTTTCCCTTTAACTTTTTGTTTCAAGACCAAGCAAACTTGAGTAAATCAAAATGGTGTCTCCAGTCCATCGAGGCCAAGAGCCCCAGAGCATCCCAGCCTGGCGGGCAAAAGCCCAGAGGCAAGGGCAGAGTCAAGCTCCACTGGGGGCCGCTCGCCCCGAGCCTGCTACCTGCCAAACCTGGCATCCAGGCACCCCGGGGGACAGCCCGCTCATCTGCTACACCCCTCCAGCAGAAATCCTCGACGCGTGCCAAGAAAACAAACATGATCCCAAAAAGAAAAATCAAAACACCTCCCACTCGTGTATTGGATCATCACCCTGTCAGATATCCACGCTGCGAGCACACGGGGATGAAATAACCGTGAGTGTTCGAGCGCCGAGATGGCTCTGCAGCAGCAAACGCGCCTGGCTGCGGGCGTGCTTCCAGCCCTGCTCAGCCTGGACCTCTGCAGTGGCCACCGTGGGATCTGCTGCGGCCACCGTGGCCAGCTGGTGGGGGGACAGACAGCCACCGAGCCCAGCGCCGAGGCCACTTGCGTGCGCTGAAGCTGTTGCACATCCTGGGAGGGCAGCACGGGCTCACGCTGCCAACTTGCCATGGCCCTAGCTGAGTTCCTTCCGCTCACCTTGTGAGCGCGGCCACGGATCAGCTGGGATCATCCTGCATTGGATCATCTCACCAGTTCCTGCTGGGCAGAGAGCACTGCTCTCAGCCAGCGGGAGGCAGCGACCTGCCGGGCCGGGGGAGTCGAACAAGTCTGCTCTTTCCCCCAGCTTTGGGCAAGAAGGAATGAACCCTGCCCCACGCTGCCAGCAAAGCCTATAGCAACGGCAGTAAGTCATCGGCTCTCATGCCCCGCCAGGCG